TGTGCACACAATAGCTTTTCTGTGATAAATCTTAGGAATTAAACTCTTAATAACAGTACATTTACAATTTACTTAAGATAGCAATCCTAAATCCTAAAGCGCAGTGTTACCCACCTCAGTCTTCCCAAAGTCTCCTCCCATCTGACACTTGTGTCTAGCTTTTCTCTCTCCATCCTTCCTGCCCCACTTGCTCTTTCCTCTTTTGTTCATCTGCTTTCTTAAGAAAAAGAAACATGGTGTTTTTGTTAGCCCATGGTTTTATGTGAACAAACAGAACTTGACTCTTCAGTCTCCACAAAAATCTGCTGTGTACTGCTTGGGGAAAAAAAAAAAAAAGATTAAGTGTCTCAATTATGGGCTCTCTGAAAGTGCTCGTGTGTCAGTGACTATATTTTTTAAACTAATCACCACTGGTCAAAGGAACTTGCAACATTTTCCTATCAGTTTTTACAACATCCAGTGTGTCAGAAATGCTTCTCCCATTTTGTCAACAGAAGCAGAGGCACAAGCCACCCCAGCAGCTGATAGCTGAATTCACTGCTTCAAACACGCTAATTTACTTCTGAACTGCAATTCACTGTTTCATCCACTACTAGAACAAAATCTTGTCTCAAAGAGAGTTGGCTGAGCAATAAGATTATACGATGTCAGGAGGTTATATTTCCATTACCTTACAAATTTCAGAAAACAATTACCTTACTATGGGAAGTCATGTCCCCGGAGAAGACTTGAGCTGTTCTCTGGGAGGCTTGAACTTACACAGGCAACAGAGCACAAGTGGGAAGGGCATTCTGCAAAGTAGGAAAAGAGAAAATTTGCCATCCCCTCCTCACCTGACAATTAAAAACTGGTTTCCATGGTAGAGGGAGAGATAAGGTATGTGTGGAAAATCGCTCATAAAATCAAGCAAACTATAAGGTAAACCAGCTCTGTTCTTGATTCCAACCAGGACCTCTGAGACAATTCAGGATACTGCTCAGGTCAAAATGTGACTTTGTCAAGACATTGAAAAAATAAGTTTAAAAAAAACCCATCAGCAAATCCAGATTTTTTGATGTTTAGAAAGAACAGCACATTCAATATCTTCCAAATGAAATGAAAACCAATTTCCTTTCTAGGCAGCAATGACTGCTGAAACTCTCCATCTCCTGAATCATTAAAATTCAAAGCAAGTGTGATAGAGCATTGGTAAAAGTCATTAGACAGTCACAGGGAAGAGCTTGCAATCCTGGAATAACAATTAATTCAAATCAATACAGAAATTAGAAGGAAACATTAGAAAAGGCTGAAATTTACCCAATGAGATCTAATTTACATTTTAAGCAAAATGAATCCTGATGGACAATCAGTAAAGCTTCAATTAAGAGTCAAGTTGAAGTTTTCCAACTTATTTTTCGAACACAGTGTTAATATACTGCCAATTTTCAGAAAGAAATATATGTAGTAAACCACTGTGAAAATTTGAAGCACAGCTCTAGGGCTGCAACAAAGAAAGGAAAATCTGGCAGAAGTAATCAAATGGACATTATTAGATTATTTAAGAGGTCTGAGCATTTTTTTCCCTAAAATATGCGACAGGAAGGCTGTACTGCAATATTTAAGCCTCACAGAAGACTCAGTCATGATATGTTGGAAGAAATGCATTTGTTCTCAGAATGATTATGAAGAGATGGGCTGGTACTAGATATGCAGTGGCATGGCCAGGTTCCACATGGGCACAGACACAGGGGCCTCTTCTTGCTGCCCCAGCACTGCAGGTTTTGGTTACAGCTCAACACATATGCCCACACTGAACAGCTACTCATTCTCTCAAACGTGAACAGCATGCTCCAAAATTCAATGCAAGAATTCAAAACAATTCTTCCTCTGGATATCTACCAACAAATTCTCATTATATATCAAGGCTGACATGCAAAGCTTTGCAACATTCGAGGTAATCATCCAAACTTTACCCTTAACAAATCATATAAATAACAACTCCTTACTCATGTCATAGTCCTCCTCTCCTGTTTATTTATCTTCATTTCACAATAGAGAATATCCTGATGCTTTTCTTTTTATTCTTTATGATAAAAGGGCAATAAAAAATGGAAAATGCACATGCACACCAGCAGGTGACAGTCTGCTATGACTGTGAATTGTTTGAGGAAAGAGATGTTCTGAGTACTTCTGAAAGTATTTGACATATTGTTGGTATTTGGAAAACCAGAAAGCCACTACTGTTAGCAATGATAACAAAGCATTTCCTTACAATATTTTTGTTTTTACAGAGGATGACATTACCAAATACATTTCTTGCCTCTTCCCCCATCACATTTGCCTAAAACATCACAAGAGTGAATTAACAAACATCATACTATTATCTCTGGTGTGATAAAAGGTCACTCCTAAAAGCATTCCTCTGCTGTGCCTGCAGTCTTCTGGAAAGAAATTAAAACTCCTAAGGAAGCTGTGACTCTTTCCATGTTTAAAGATGTGAACAACCCCAATAGATCTGATAATAATGACAACTAAAATTTCTGACAAAAAGACTGCTTGCAGACCCCCACCTCCTGCACATATCATAACATGAATGGGAGATTTAAAGAATGAGTTACATCAGCAGTCTGTAAGACATTCAGGGGAGACTCTTCAAATGACCTTTGAGAAGCCATTTGCCTCAAATCCATTTGTGTAAACACTGACATGAAGATATCCTGGGCAACTCCATCTTATTGCCATGAGTTCACATGAGACACTGAGATACTGTTGGGGGTTGAATTGTTCCCTTTTCTTTCTGTGGAATTACTCCCATTGTTATGCTAAGTAGTTGTGGCTACACCTTAGAAACTATAATGTTCTCTCGCAGGGGGTGGGTGGAGAGGGGGGCGGGAGCGGGGAGACCAGAAAAGGAAAGGGGGGAGATGGGTCTGGAGCAGGCTCGGTTAGGCTCTCGCTTGGCTCGTGGAGTGGGAGGACGCCCTGTGCTCTGATCTGGCATCTCCCCTGCCATCCCAGCGCTGAGATCCACGCTCCCTGCCGTTGGACACCGCTCTGCTGCTCTCCCACCTCACCCTACTACCTCCGGACACTCTGCCGAGCACCACAACCGACACCGTGAGGGGGGAGTCACTTCCCCATCCCTCTCACCCCTGGGCCGCTGCCGCCATCACTCCAGCCCTCTTCAGCTACACGGGACCTGCCCTGCCCACAGCACCGGTAACTGAGCACAGGGAGAGAGGGCCTTGGCCAAAAGGAACTGGAACTGAGCTGTACTGTTCTGCTTTGTTGTCAATTTTTATAGCTGTTGTTCTTTTCTGCTTTTTTGCCTTGTTAGATATCAGTAAAGAACTGTTACTCCTATCCCCATATCTCCTGCCTGACAGCCTCTGATTTGAAACTAAAATAACAAAAAGGGAGGCGGTTGCACTCTGCATCTCAGGAAAGGGGTTCTCACCTTTCCTTAGTAAATACCTGTCTTTCAAACCAAGACAGATACACAGGAGAGATGCATGCAGGAAAAGAGCTCTTCCCCCTTCCCAGCACAGGAAAGAGTCAGGTAGCCAGAGGCTGGCACAAATGAGATTACTTGGGGGGAAAGAAATATTACATGAGATGTGAACAAGAAACACTTTCAGCTCACTAGTTGGTGAAACCATTATAAAAGACTGCTTACTTCTCACACTTTGGTCATTATGTCATGAGTCCCCTCGCAGGCCTTTGCCACTTATGTATGATGCACAGAGTTATTCATTTTCAAATTTTCAAAATCCCAGCCATATCTTTCATGGTGGTTCCCTTTCAAGACCAGCTGTGTTCAACCACACCAAGTGCTCCCTTGCCACTGCTTTTCCAAGCAGAAGTCTCCTGCTGTCCCCTTGGAGCACTTGCCTGATGATTTCTGAGCATGTGAGAGAAGAGAAAGGAAGGGAAATACAGCAGCATTCAAAAAACCCCAGAGGCATCGCAGGGAATCTTTACCTAGAGATCAATAAAGGTAGGGATGCAGGAGAAGGGAAAAGATAAGATGATGCCACAAAGACTATAGAGGGGTTGAAAAGGAGTAAAGAGAGAGAAAAAGATATCTATGGCATGTAGCACAGTGAAAGTTTAAACATCCTCTTCTGAAAATGTTCCTATGACTTGGAAATAAATCATCCAGTTCTACCAGCCCCAAAATATCCACCACATCTGCAAAATAACATTGGACCAGAGATGTTTTCACTTTCTTTTTAAACCAATTTCTTATTAATGATCTCATCAAAGGACTTCAACTTCTTTTTTCATTCTTGAAACTCACATTAAGCTTAGTGGACTGCTTTCTTACACTGTAACCATGACAGCTGGACTACCTTTAAAAATGGGGAAACACTGTCAGCACATTAAGCCTCAAGCTACATTTGCTTCACAGTCAGAAATCTGAGAAATTGATAATTCTTCTCTAGCAAATTTTCTAGAAATAAGTGAAAAGTTGAACATATTCTTTGGTGTTAGTAACTCAGTGATGAGGACAGGACATAAGAATATCAGCGTGGCATTTGTGTAATTCCTAAACACACAATGTATCAAATGTTGCTAATGGTCCTAGCACTCACTGACAACTGAGCAATATAATATTAAATGCATATTGTAGTTCTATCTCTATAATTAAGTAACTTTTAATATAAAGTACACTAAAAGTCCATTTTCAGCTTTCTGAAAGGCCTGCATGTCTGAAGACTACAACATCTCAAGCACTGTGAAATGAAAGGTGCCTAAGACTATAATTGCTAGTCTTTTCTTGATCTTACCATTTTAGTTTTCCAGTAGTAAAAGAGCTGCAGGAGTTTTTACTGAAGAATGCATTGCTAATGTATTTCCATCTCTTCTGCATTGCGTTGGCCTTTCATTGGGAAATCTGAGATACCTGGCAATATGGTGCTACCAAGCACTCTCAGCAGTGACCACAGAAGCACAACAGCCCACAAACTACCAGACTCCAAAGCCCATGTTCTGACCGTCTTCATCAGCAAAGAAATCACTTTAGGTTAAAGTATGATGCTTTTCTGTCCAAACATTCTATTTGCAGAAAACTTTCAAGCCTCTGTTTACAGCCTTTCAGATTTAAAAGCCTCAAACAGAGCCAGAAAGCAGCAAACAGCACTCTGAAAAAAAAAAAATTCAGATATAACCTGTAAGTCATATAGAAAGGCATCCATCAGTCACTGCCTGATTTCTCATTGTACGTTACTGTTATTTATCAATAGTTCGTCTGTAGCATCAGCTTCAGTATTTCATGTGGATTCACACCAAATAAAGACCTGCACAACAGACAACATTAATAAAACCACAAAAAAACAACAATTAAATCTGTTAACAAAACATTTATAAAAGAATGGAGGGTTGTCAAAAAGTACAAAATCTGAGGTGTCATAAAACCAAACAATAAGATTATCAGCACTACTTAGACAATTTAAGGCTAAAGATTCTGACAATTAATAAAAATGTTTTGCTTTTGGGTTTTTTTACAGTGTTTTGTTACTTTTGGGTGAAATCTCAGAGGGTACTTCAACACATCAGAGGTGTTATGGTCCAGCTTTTAAAGTTATTAGAAATGCCTCTGCCTGAATTAAAATGCAAATAAGACCATATGCCAAGTCAATAGTATAGATTTTATTTGTTAGTACATATGAGACAGAGAAAGAAAGAAATAGAAAAGAGGTGGGAGGACAGAAAGAGAGTGACAAAGACAAATTAAAGAAAATATCACCACTCCATGCATCCCAATGATGTTCTGTTGATCCTCTCCAGCTGGTCTTCTTGGTGATGAGTTTCCTCCAAAAAGCATAGAATCAGATGGGTTAATATATGCTCAGGCCAGGTGGGAATGCCCAGTTTCTACATCTTCCCCTGTGGGGTAGAGGTGCAGTTTGACACAGTCTTTTGCAGCAGACTCTGGGTCTGTTGCATCACTTTATGTCACATGTAATGCTGTGGTGCAAGGCCTCAGGAATGACTCCAGTGTGTACTTCTGGGGGTCTTTGATGGTTTATGACACTCCTGAGCTGCGTCCCATGTGGATGTCCTGTGGATGTGGCCTGTGGGGTTGGGGGTTCCACAGCTGGGCCAGTTTGTGTAAGGGAGGATGGGTGTTCACTGCCTTTGACCAGAGGTTACGCCACATACCTGAAACCTCCTCTTCCCTGCTCAGTTTAGGGGGAGTCTGTGTAAACCTGGCCTCTGTGGGCTGCAGTCTCCCCCACCCCAAATACACACAGGGATAATTTTCTGCTGTGTTTGGCTTTCTTGTGGTTGCATTCACTTTCATCAGCCTTGTTGTCTTCTCCCTAGAACTCAGATGATTGAACAACAGTGTCCCCTTTATCTTATATAGATGGCATGTCCCCAGGCACAAACCAACCAAAGTGGCACTAAGAACTAAAGCAAAACTCATAACTTAAGTAATTCCTGTTTTTCTTGCTGATATCACTTGTACTATCTGTTATCCACTCTCCTTCTCTGAAAGCTCTAAATCAGGAGCAAAGGAGATTCAGGCTCCCTCTCTCTTGGTCACCACTCCAGGACTAAAGATGGTGCAGAGAAAATGCCCACTTTGATTTCATTCTTAGGTTTGCTATAACTAAGACTGAATTCTACAGCATAGAAACAAAGTAAGAACAGAGGAAATCCCACTTTGTTCAGGTTTTGCTATTTATCCATGTCTTCCCACAGACATTTTCTGCACTTGGCAGAAATTGAACTTTTTTAAGCAAAAGCATGATCATACAAAGTTAATATACTCCTATCTAAAATTAATTTATTAAATTAAATATTTAAACAAGGCATGGAATTATTGATTTTGTTTACAAAATTACACAGATTAATAGGAATTATTAAAGTACAACATTTGACTCTTGTCTCTGTAGAGTGCTGCTTCAGCAATCGGGATCTACAAAGTTAAGAAAACACTGAAGAGTCAGGGAACTTAGTAATTATCAATTAACTCATAACCTCTGCTAACTATTATAAGTAGTCCTTGTTCTTCTATTCCCAAAATGGTGGAAGATAGGCTGGATCTAATAACACTGGCAGCTAAATATGTATAATTTGCTAAGCTTTAAAGCGTTTTGCTTTTTACTCTTCAACATTGAAAATGTTGACAAGTCTGTAATATTTTGAAAAAGGTTTATGGGTATGTGTAATGATTTGAAAAGAAAACCAGTGAAAGACTGCAAGTCAGTAATACAATTTAGTAGGAAAAAAAAAAAAAGAGAAGAAACCCCATGCAATAATACAAAAGAAAAACCACTGACAGAGTGAGAATACAACCTGACATCCTGTCAGTCAGGATGTTGGTAGCAGTCCATATAAATGGTGGCTACAGTCCTCCTGGATGACAGATGTGGTTTATTAGAAGTAGTGGCCCTGTAGAAGGGTGCAGTTTTCCTCCAAAGGTCCAGTGATGATGTGGAAAAGGTCATACTTTCCTCTGGGATCCAGTGAAAAGGACTGCCTTTGTGTTCCAAACCCCAGTTTTTTATCTAGGTAGGAAATGCTTGGGTCTCCCCCTGGCTGGAACATCTCCCAGTGGGATGATGTAATCTTATCAGTCATACAATAGGACTTAATGGCCCATTAACGGAATATATCTTCTGGAGGAAGGATGGGTTGTGAAAAGATAACGATGATCATCCCCCGATCTTATCAGATGGCACATCAGCAGAGGATATCTCCCACAGAGATAAGGATCACCACCCCTCCCGCGTTTCAACAGATGGTGATAGAACACACATTTTTGCATTGTACCCCAGGACAGTATGTTCTTAAAGTTTCTTAGGAAGACAGAAACTTGTCTTTGGTGTAGAACAGTAATTAGCTGCGTGCTGACTACATCATGAAGAAAAAATTGATAATGTTTTCATAAACCTCAGATTTTCTAGTCAAGTTTCTAAGGCCCACATTTTCCCCTTATTTTTGGGAGGAATAAGGGTCATCTGAAAAATCAACTGCTTGGTAACCTGTGTTGGCCCAAGTGGTCATTTGCTATCATGTGTAATTATACTGGGCTGTCAACACTACTCAGAGTCAGCAACATTAATATCATCCAGGGAGGTGCAAGTTTTAAATATGGAGAATTTGTCAATTAAAAAAATAAATTAAGAAATGCGTATTTAGAAAGGAAAGTAGAGCTGGGCCATCTCAGCATAGGACTGTAAAAGAAGCCTGAAGTGCATCTAAAACCCTCTGAATGTAAATGAGATTTGGGAAGCTATATCCCTTCTGCATGCATGGAAATTCCCAACTTATTAAACATCGGCTACAAGTCAAAATAATCATGGTAAATTACATGTCTTTTGCTTTGATCTTTTGGGTTAATCCAAACTCCAAAGTGAAGCCAAATATGTGTCTTGGAAACCTGCAACAAGGAAAAACAAAGGACATTTTCTCCCTGGAAAATGATTAGTAAAGCCCTAGGTACTTGGCTGTAATCAGAGAGAGGAAATGCAAAGCCATGATATAAATTATATAGACCAATGGCTTTGGTTAGAAAAATAGAAAAATAACCCTTGGATCTTTTCTATGGAGGTGTTGAAACTAGTATGCTGTTTGAACTTAAATGAAAAGCAAAAACTGCTAAGCAAAAACTCAAGGCAATCCAAAATCTGCTTCCTGCAAACTTGGTCGTGCCTGTGTTCTTTGGCTACACAATTTGAGCCCACTGGCATAAGGTGAGGCTCAAGCATTTGCTGTCAGAATAAGAACACTGAGAACCAAAACAGTGTCTCATTATCACATCCACGTAATTATCCACCAGCTTTTCCAAAGCACCTCTTTGCCCTCCGGTGCAAGTCAGCACCACAGCTCTGCCCAGAGCTCTCCCAGAGCCCACAAGGGTGAAATATGCTGCTTAAATCCTCACTAGCAATTCGAGCTGGTCCCCTTAGAAGAAATAAATTTAATCTATTCTCCTGCCTCTACTCATCCTACCTATAAACCTTGTTAAAATGACAGAATCATAGAAAAAAATTAGTTTCTACTTCTGCACTTTCTGAATTTTGCTTTTCACATTACAGAACTAAGAATTACATTATTATTTAACTGATAGCACTTTTTAAAGCCCATCATAGAATGAGACACTGTCTAATAGAATCTTAATTGCAGAACCTCTGAAAAATAGTTCAGAAATAGATTAACAAGTTGCAGACTAAGATCAGGATTGTATCTGCTTCAGCTATTATTGCCTGTATTTGAAGTGCCAGACAATCCACAATGAAACTAAAGAAACTAATCAGTAACAAAGAACCCCCAAGCCCAGCACTGCCTCACCCTTCTGCCTCCATACCTAAGCTATGGATTTCCATATCTCAAAATCTGTCACATTAAAAATTTGGCAAGTGCTTCACCAATACAGTAGCTGCATTCAAATACACTTACCATGCTTGAAAATATTTGTTTATGGTTGTGATTTAGAATTTACTTTAAGGCTTAAGAAGACAAGTGTTTTATTCATGTTGCTCTCAAGGTGTGTTCAGATAAATAACTGGTAGTTTTGTAAACTCCGATTACTTGGCTCAGTATTTTGGAAAGTCTGTTTTTTAGGAAGCAATTGTTTCAAGACTGGGAGACGGGCAGGGTAATGGCAGCACTGTGGGGGACTGATGTTCCTGTATCTTGGGCACAGGACTTCTGTGCCAGCTTGAACATTTTTTTTAAAAGGAGAAGCGTTTCATAGCTTGTCTGTGGCCAGTCTGCCTGCTGAATCTTCTCTGGCTGTCTGTTCAGCATCCTTGTATTAAAGCAGCACAAAACCTCTTGTCAGCATAGCACTGACTGCATGGGTCAGGGGTGGCTGGTAACAACAAAAACTCAGAGCATGACTTGGGTGAAAGATTCCTTAAAATACAGAATTCAGCCCAGGATGGATGAGCTCTTTGTAAAACTAATCTGGTGAGTTTTACCCCACGTCAGAAAAACCTCATTAGTGAAGGTGATCAGCACTTACAGGCAGTCACTGCTGTACATCCAGTAACTCTCTTATCACTGAGGCTTCGAACATTCCCACACTGGATGTGCATTTACATTCCACTGACAGTCAGGCATCTCACAAAGCTATCTCACTTCACAGGCAGCACGTACTTTTTCAACTGTGTAAACAGAAGATTAATGAATGTGA